TTTTTTTTTTTTTTTTTTTTTTTTTCGTTATTCAGAAGATTTAATGCATTTTTTTTCTTTCATTTTAACGTAGGCGATACTGCCGCAACGTAATTAGAAGCGTGAATCGTGCCAATAATATTGACAACATATACACGGATCGCGGGTACTTACCGGGTGGAATCGAAAACGAAATCTAAGTCCATTGTGACTTTAAGTAGGTACGGATTAGCAGCCCACGTAGGTATTTATATAGCGATAAATCTTGTTAATATAGAATTGGCATAACTCTCGCTGAATTATACGAGCGAACGGCGTGAACGTAATAACGTTACGTAATTAAGATAAAGCCGTTCGGATCCGAAGAAGAAAATATTCATACCCTGTAATACAGTGTCAAGGAACTTTGAAAAAAAAAAAAAAAAAAATTCGAAATAATTAACTTTACCGTAACATCAAGTTCCTACTATAAATTTTTGTCTGTCACACGTTTGAATTTTATTTTTGGTGCTACTGTACCTGTCTGACTTAATACGACCTGCCCACGTGGTCTTTTATTACATATAGGTACAGACTGCAAGGTCAGACAACAGGGTGCACCGTCGTTTGGAACTTAATGCATATCCTCTTGTGAACACGTGTAAATACGAAAGGCGCAACGTGCGAATGGTTGACGTAAGGTTATCGCACAGGAGGCACTTAACGGGGCGTAATGTCATCTTGTCTCGATATTACCGTTTGCGCCAGTCAGGGCCGGCGTTTTCGAGGGTGGAGGATAGAGAAGCATGAGAGCATTGTTCCACCATGGGAATCTCCCATGATTGTATCCAGCTCCTCATTTCTTGTATTCTCGTAATAGCCCGAGCGTATTCAAATAGCGCGTCTACGTAGACACGTCGTCGAGCCACATGTTTATCCGCACCGTTGGGCAACCATACGAGATGGGAGATAAGAAAAAAATTAAGGAAAAAATTTTTTTTTTCCAAAATAGCATAATCTTCTCTTATCGTCCGCTTATCGACGCAAATTATGCGAAAACAAAATTGACTTGATATTGAAAATAATTATTTTGGAAACCACACAAAAAAAAGTATAACAATTTTCTAACCTAATCGGATCAAAATGATACGAGGAAATTATTCTAGCCTAACTATTTTTTGTCCTACTTGGTATCGTCTAATGGTACTGTTACTGTTAGAGCTACAAGTTCTACCGGTCTATTTTGATCTGAATGCGGCTTGGTATGAAAAAAAGTCGTAGACTTTTGTTGCATATTGTTGAGTTATCCGTATGCTCTAGAGAAATATGATAAAGAAAAATACCAAACTACCGTGTATACCTGGTACAAAGAAGTTTATGGGTTACTGGTATGAATGATGAAAATTGCAATTTTTTTTTTCTTCATTTTTTGTACAAAGTAGAAGACGTTTAAATTCGATTCGAAAAATTGTACGGTCTGAGCTTTACGACTGTCAGGATGTATATAGGATTGTTTCCAAAGAATTGCAAAATCGGGCATTGTTAGACGAATATAACGGGTGTGAGTATTCTGTCGTATTGCGAAAGGTACCAACCTACTAAAGTTTATGCAGGCCTCGAATAATGGGAAGAGGGTTTCCTACCGGGGTGTCTTATAAATCTAAATGACGTGTTGCTTGCGCTCGCTACGACGTTGCTGCGTTCCGCAATGCCGGTTCGGCGCGTGGGCGTTGCGATTTTTTATGCGACTTCGAGTCAAATACGAAAGCGGCAAAGGTTAGGAACTGGTTTAGAGGTGCGGAGTTGACATCTTTCCGTATTGTCATTGAAGTGAAAAATTTTCATAAAAATTTACCCGACATATATATATATATTCAAAAATAAATCACACGAACGAAGCATAACAGTACTTGTACGGAAGAAGAAAAAAAAATTCTTATACCCTCCACCAAAAAAAAAAAGAGTATCAAAAATTTGAAAATTAAAAAAAAAAACACGATTTGACAATACCGACAATTAATTATTGTTAATGTAAGACTCGATTGAGCCTCAATGAAAAAAAAATACATACTACAATGATCATTACCTTGCCTGGCATTCCACAATCTATAACGCCGATGAATCTGGAGCACTTTGACACAGTTTCCAATAAATGTATAAAATATGAACAACCGATCCCGAATCGATATCACATAGTTCCGTTATCGTTATCACTGAAAACAATCTCCGTCCTGTTCACAACCACTGCCAATATTATACTGAAGCACTGCTACAAGCTCCGAATTCGAAGTGAATCTCATTAAAAAAAAAAAAAAAAAACAGGAAAACCAACACAGTATAATAATAAACCAACTTAGTCCTTATGTCCTGATGAATATTTCCTGGATCATCCATCCACAGATCAATCCCAGTCCCAGCATCCTGCCACAAAACACGAGAAGCTTCCTTTCAGACAATCGGCCGGTTGTCACACAGTCCCATTAATAAAAAAGAAAATAATAGTCCACGTTAATTATCTCGACGCATCCCCTATACTGTCACATTCGACCAACATATCGATTTGGTCTCTTCGATCAATGATAACCACGAGGTCTGAATACTCCTTGCGGCAACGTCCAAACGATAACCCGGTTCACGTTATTGTGCGATAACGATGGAGACACGGATTGACGTGTCTTCGGCAGGACAGCTGAGTCCTGACTGTCCGATGTTTCAGTGTTACAGGGGAGTATGGTGCGTTGTAGCGTTGTCCAGCAGCATTAGTGTTTAATCCTGCGGTATCGTGGACGGTATTGTAGCGGTGGTGAGTAAGAGTAAGTGAAGCAAGTTAGGCAGGCATGGACTAGGCGGGGAAGCGAAGTCGTAGGTTGGTAGAGATAGGTAGGTAGGTAGGTAGGTAGGTAGACAGATATCTAGGTAGGTAGGTAGGTAGGTAGGTAGGTAGGTAGATAGGTAGGTTGGTAGGTAGGGTCTAGATCTTCGAATGTATCGGTACAAAATAACGTAATGTTGGTTAGTCTCTCTAGAACGGAGTAGCACCACGCCGGCACGCGACCTGCCCTCCCTCTGCTGCTCCGCTTCCTTTGGTCTGGTTCACTACCTACCTACCTACCTCCCTGGACCATCGGTACCTCTACTACTACCAACTACTCCTCCCAGCCTCTCAGCACCGGAATACTCCCACCATTCCTATACTATACTCTCCTTCGCTCCATAACTCCCAGGCACTAATTCACCTTTGCAACTGTACCGACACCCCACCATTCTGCCATACGCGGGCACCACCACCAGAATCATCCGTAAGATCCACAGCATCACTCCTAGGCGACGGTTACCGCCGTACCGGCTCTCGTTCAGCATAGTTCAGATCCTTCGGATCGGGACACGGTTGTCCTAGGACGGAGCACCGGAACGGCGAATGCTTTTGATTTTATAAATAAAAATTATACAATTTTTCGAATTCTGGATCTTAAATCATTGTTTTGATTTTTTTTTAATCATGCTTCCGGTTCCAACTCCTTTTACGTTAACTTTCCGGAGTAAGATTTTCCTTTGCTTCCTTTTCTTTTTTTCTTCTTCTTGCGGTTACAAACTGCGGATTCACTCTCTGCTTAGGATCTTGTCCTTGCGCAATAAAGATCACTCGATTCACCTGGGTTTACTGAAATTGTAGACTGTGAAACGTGACGCATTCGTTCTTCGGCTTCCTTGAAAACCTGGAGGGACGCCGGATGGGTACGACACTCTCCATCCCGGAACGATCCCTTTAGATTCGCTCTCGAAAACCGATCGTTTCCTTCTCGAGGCTTTACCTAAATTTTCTTTTTTCTTATTTCTACTCTTCGTTCTCCTCCGCGCTCTCTGTACACGATATGCACGTTTACGGCGGGAGCATTGCGACAAAGGGAAGATCCGTTCTCGTTTAATCGATTGCAATGACACGATGACTTTCGTTAGGTATTTTACAAGGCGCCTGTGTCAACTCTTCTTGATTGTCATCGGTCGCGCGTGAGTGACAGCCACGCAGACTGTCATTATCTTTACCGAACGAGAGCCGAGAGCCGAGGTACAGTCGCGGGAAACGATTGCGGAACGGTAGTCAAACCTGAGAGCGTTAACGGAGATCGGTCTCTATCGTCATCCGTGAATAAAAGTGTTTGTCTGGCATTAAAATCCTTAAATCATGATGTGCCAATCCGAGACACGTAATAGCGACTTTTATCGATGCCCCAACGACGCCAGACCAGGAGATCCCTGAGTTGGTCTCATGGTTCTCTGGCATTTCCATCAGGGGAATAAGAGGGACCTAGATCAATTTTTCGTTCGACCAATCAAGCCAGTTTCAATGATCATAGCAACTGGACGGTCTTAAATCTTATTTTAACGGCGTCGATAGCTCCGACATTCGACCGAGCTCGTTTCTTCGGCAATGCCGATGAGACTTCTTTGTCCGGAGCGTCCTGGCGCTTGCGTCATTTTAACCTAAATATCTTAAACATTGATTACGGAATTTATAGACGGACTTCCAACTGCCGTTATATATATGTCTCTGTGTATATATCTATCTTAAACAATGACAACGTCAAAGTTTAGCTATCGAACCGAGCTGGGTAACTATCCTCGTCCGCGAGGACTTCTGAAGGAGCAACCTCGAGCAGACACTTAATAATCGTGGAAGCACGCGTCAAAGTCATGCTAATATGGACCACGAGGTGACGAAGCCAGTCTCTCCCATGGACGGGATTCCATCTGAGATCGGTTAAAGAAATTCCTGATCTTGATTCGTGCGCACGCAGCATCCGTTCTCCGCTTTGGCAGGTGTCCGAGGACGATGTCGCAGGTGCGCGGATGATCGACTTTGAACTTCGGTTGAGATGCTGATTCGTCAATGTCAGCGTAAATCGTCATCCTCGGGATTCTTAGAAAAAATTCTAATCGGCCATATCGCGCCGTATGAAGGGCTTCAGCTGGACCAAAAAAAAAAATTAAGAAAATTACCTAGTACCACTATCGTATCGTATACTATCATATGTAGTAAAATTTTTTCAAAATTTTGAGTATACCCGCGATAACGATATCCTAGTAAACGTGACTTGTCATTTGGCGTATAGAATAATATCTCTGGTATCTTGAGGCTGTCATGCCCGAGGAGCCTTGAATCGATCTGGTTCATGGCGTAATAGCATAAGACCACGATGGACCAGGTACCACCCACCACAACGAGAAGCATGCCTAATCTCGATTATGTTTGGTAACTATAGAAGTAACTGGGGCAGCGAGCAGATTGCTGGATTCGTTGGTTACTAAAAGTTGGCAAGGGTATTACGAACGAAACTAGCCTCCAATATATATGTACGTATATGTATACATAAATATTATGTACTCTATATGACGTTTACCATGACTAGTTGATGTCTGCTTGATAAGGAATGTCTCTACTAGATCGATCCAGTGGTCCAGACTATTGTCCGTTCAGTAGATACGTACCGCCTGGTCTAGACACCTCAGACACGAGTTCCTGGTAAAAGCATCATCACAAAGATTACCCAGGAGTCATCTGCAACGTTTTGTTATACCACTATAGACAATATTATGGCACAGAGCCATACAGCATCCTGCAGCTTCTCTAACCGTTCCTAGTGTATATATGGTATCCCAGGTTGCCTCATTCCATTCGCGATTCCACATTCTTCCCACACGTGTAAGACACGCCGGGCGGTATGTGAGGAGTAGAGGTATGGAGCGTTAGATGTTTAGTCCTGATATGTTATACTACTGTAGCATTCCATTAACGGTACACAGCATCCAAATCATTTGTTCGTCCGCGGGATAAGGATGGTATCAAATTGTGGTCCACGATGACGAACGACGGACCTAATGTATTGAGGGATTAAAAGAAAATATTATTTTATGTTATCTACAAGATTTTATGCAGCTGTCTTTTGCAAGGATAACCTACCATTTCTACGAGCACCTGCGAAACTTATAACAAGTGCTGATCTTGTTCCATCTCCATAATGGACCAGGTTTCGCAGTTTCTTCCCATTTCCGTCGTGATGACTCGAGCTCGGAAGATAACTCGCTTAGCTATATACCTTTTACGTTTTATATATATATATATATATATATATATATATATATATATATATATATATATATATTTATGTACACAAGACTCGCCCCGAGATGAAATCCTTTCAGGTTTCATCTGCTCCACTTAAAAGATCCTCTCTTCCTACATGATCATTGACTCCACCGGGACACAACTCTGCACAGGGTGGGGCCCCGACTGCATCTCGCATGTCGTCTTCAGTTTTACTTTCTAAGGCCCCTTCTCGCGTCGACGGTTAACTTCGTGTAGATAGTATTTCCGTAGGTACTATATGTGCATATGGACATACAGGATCATACTGTACAATAATTTATGTAGCATAAACTATACCATATTAATATATCACGTATAGGAGGGGAGCCAGAAGTTTTTCTTTACTGTCTGCCCAAGAATTTTTGCTCTACTTGAGGATTCCATCCGAGCCTTCTCCCGCCATTGCTACCGAGTCTATCCCAGTCCTTGTCGGACGTCTCTACGAGGATGTGTTAGTAGACCACGCCAGGGTGGGGTCCTCTCGCATCCGACTTGGCGTTTTCAGTTTCACTTTCTAAGTCTCCCTACCCAGCCGACCGATCTAGGCCCTGGTTGAGTAGAGCCACCCCGCCCTGCTATTCACTCCGTTCTAGGATCAGCTAGGAGATGCAAGACTCGCTGTTCGCTCTGGGATGCTGCAAAAGATTGGAATTAAATGTTTAAGAACGATCCGATAAAGATTTTACGGTTTGTATGAGATTTTCTGTCTCTGGTGAGTTGGATATGGAGTAAAATTGATATAGGGATATTCTAGGGAATTTTTCCATCTCTCATATCGAACGAAAGTTACTGCGAATCGACTTTATGTATATTGCCATGGACAAAGGCGGTTCCCTCGACTGTCTTAAATCCTGTATTAAATCTGGGACACCGGCGCTCTGGACGCCTTTAAACGTCGCGCCGCCCGTTTTCACTGAGATTTATTCGTTAATTCGTGGATCGTTAATTGGAACGATGTTCACGGACTTGGAGCGATTGCCCGACTGCCGTTCGCTTTCTTCCGCCATAATGGCGCCTTGCTGTTTCTAACGAGGAGAACTTTAAATTCGAACGCCTTTACATGCTCTTATTTATAGGCTATGAGGATAAACTGTCTCGTCGAAAATTAAACTACATATACGTATACGCGCGATCAGGTATGTCCAGTCCCGATTAGACGGATACCTGTATTTAGGGTTAATTACGTGTCACCATTCTTTATATAGTCAAAAAATATAGCAACAAACTTCTTTTTTTCTTTCCGAGTCAGACCGAAAGCACGTGCCACGATCGGTGGGATTCGATGATTAACGTGTCTCGATGTCGGTGCGATTGCTGCCTTTAAATTCTTCAACGTTTGCTCAACCGGTCGTCCTGGTGAGAAGTTTGCGAATTCGAAATGCGTTTCGTACAATTTATGGATAATCAAAGGCGGCCGATCGTGCTCGTTGTAGAAATCACTTTGAAATTGCCGCCACTTTATATTTTCCTGTTAAACGTGAAAACGGACGGCCATGCTTTACCATTAGCAACCGGTACCAACTGTATGATATATAAATGCACCGACGTCTCATTCGCACCAAATTAATAAACCATCGTACCCATTATTTCTTCACTTTAGAAATCTCATTCGACCGTCCATGAAAAGCTCCATGATCCTACGACCGTCACGCCCTGATGATGATCCTTCCCAGTAACGATCGCTTATACCGATCCTCACGATTTCTAGTTTTCATTCTGATCCATAGTCGCACGGTAGCTATCGGTCTGCCATTAAAATTTCTCATTGTCTGGATCTTGAACTGGATGATGATGAGGTCTTTTTTTTTCATGACCTAATGCCATCGCTCTTTATTGGGACGCGTAGGCAGTTTATAAGGTCAGGATCGATTTCCTTAAAATGGCCGTTCCTGCCTCTGACCATCCACTTGTAGCACGAGCGACATCGACGTGACACACAATGCTATGGCACCACGTAGCTGACACCTGGACGGATGATGCATAGGACCGTAGAGGGCATTTCCTGCATTAGTATATCATTTACATCCTCGTATATCTCTCATTATCTGCCTACGTACTTGCTGTCAGGATCGCCAGAGACTTTGCCGCGCATACTAAACAGCCGCTACGTATCCCATCTGGTTCCGTCAATGCGGTTGACTTCCCCGACATGGGGAAGCCGAGCACACACTTGTACAATCATTTTATGGGAGACGATGGCCTTTAGGCATTGTACACACGTTGCCCTATCATTGTCACATATAACAGACGATCAGAGAAAACAGCATAGTACTGAAACATAACGTAAAATTAGGATGGATATAATTTACGTGTTTTAGGTAAAGCAGCCAGATATATAAACGAGTCGTGAAACATGGTCTGCGATCGTCAAATTTACTTTTGATTGATTTTGATTGGTGGTTGATAAACAATTTTTTTCCTCCCTTCGTCACGCGAGTGCGAGAGAGACGCATGCATCGCTGTCTTCGGCACGCGAGGCTGGACCAGTAATTTTACTTTTGTTACGGTACGTAACGTGTAATTGTATACCTAAAATTTCCAACTGTGAAACCCAAGAAGTTGGAACTCTCCCGGGGACCTGGAATTTCACGTAAACACGGAAGGTCATGTACTTTCGAGAGATTTAGACAGTCTGACCTGTGACATCGGTCCCGCGGTATACGGTCCTTACTTTTATCTGTCTTTTTGTTCGTCTCACTTTTTGGGCGGAAGATCTCAGGACCTTTGCCAACGAAATGTCTCGCTGAGCTCTGTCGGTTAACGAGCGTGACTAACAGCGGGTTCCACGGGTTCTGCTGCGTGACCCGATCCCAGTGACAATTGAAGGGTTGGTCCCCGGTCACGAGTGCCGGTCTAAAGTGTTGAAAATAAAAAAATATAATTCGACCGATTGCGAAGAGAATCTTCATCCTGAATTATGTTAACCCCCGTAATCATAATGGTAATCAGAGAACGGCCCAAGTTAACTCACCGAAGTAAACGCTCGGAATGTTTCTGGAACGTGCGATTCCCAGTGGCGATGTTAGCCAACTGCGATTCGAACTCTGAACTATGACTGGTGGAGACGCCTCCTCCTGTCTGAGTATCTAGCAACCGTTACCACTTCCCAAGACATCCGTGCTCGCCATACCGGCCACGATTCGTACCGGCAGAGCGTCCTGGAGAAAAAAAAAAGAAAAAGTGTCAAAAAATAAATAAATTCAAAGCGGACTCATCGTACACTCTTCCCGGCAGTAGTGCATTGCGCAAAACGATCAGACACCATATCGAGAATATTGGCGATACCGGATCGGTATTCCGAGTAAATTCCCCAACCGGTCGGACATACGGAAATAACAAGTTGGTTGTTGTGCAAGTGGAAGTGTCCGTAAAAAGTCGCGAAGGAGGGAAGGCCTCACTGATTCACAGGCTGGAAAGAAAGAAAAGACGAGAAAGAAGGTCGGAAAAGAAGCCAGGGGAAAAGGAAGTGGGAAGAAGTAGTAAAAGAGTGTAACGAATCGGCCGGCAAGGATCGCAAAGTCCGATCGAAGCAACGAGAGCAGTGACATGTAATTGATAATTATCGTTAAGCACCACTGCCGGATAAAGCCGAGTCCACGATAGATCACGCTCTCCTGCTGGAGCCAATCGGGTTCTCCGTGTCCTGTTCTCCGGTGCACGCAGCGCATTAGATCGTAGCTGGCATGGAGGGCATTGCGAAAGCACCGGGACGCACGTCTATTAATACTGATACCGTGTTATCTTTCGTGGTGTGGGTGTTATCAAGGCAGGGCGTGTCGCGGCAGAAAGCTGCTCCCGCAGCCGGCAGCAACGTGACTGTCAGCCTCCGCGAACGATCCGGATCCGTTCCGTTCCGTTCTGCTCGCTACGTTTCTCCGGGTTTAAGTATGGCGTCGTGTCGTGTGTGCTCGCATGTACCGGGTTATCAGGATAACCCCATAGACGTCCTGGAAAATCCGCGTTCTCCTCTCTCATACGAGACCGTTACGTGGACGGCATTGTACTGCGAGTACCGGAATAATGAGAAAAAATGTAAATCGAAAAAAAAAATTTCAAAAATATTTTTTCAAAAAATATTTCAAAAAAAATTTTATCACTTGAACTCGAAAAAAAAAATCTTATGAGCTCCTCCAGAGATTTCTTATAACAATCGTATGGCAGACGTCGGAGGATGTCTAGGCTATTCGGAGCAGTGGGTCAGGGTCCCTAACACTGGATGACGAAATGGTACCCAGAAGTGGTCCTGGTTACCCTCGAAAACAGAGGCTGCACCAGATGCAATTTTCTGACCAGTCCGCCGGATGACCTTACGTATGTTTTTTCCTCTGCATACGTCTTCCGCCGCTTCTAGTATCTTCTGCACGGTATTTAAGACGCAGTAGAAACTGGATGATCCTGACGGCTCGAGAAGATGACGATCGTAACTCCTTGGCGAATGTTAATACGCGTATATTGTAACGCGTTATATAACATGCGAATTATGCAGATCGCTCGGCATTCGCTTTTAGAACGGCTGTGAATCACAATGGCGCGGAAAGGGTCACGCATGTGAATCCAAGCCGTATGGTATGTATGTACTACACATGTAATATATATCTATACGGTTATATAGATACAACGTTGAACCTATCCCAGAGCGTTGTTTCTCTTGTATATCAGAGTGCCGGTACGCAACGAGATCTTAGCGTGTGTGTAGAAAGTCCGCCTACTGCGTGACACACCGATCCTCAGATAACGCTTCGTGGCACCGTAGTATTCGTAAGCACTGTACGAGATAGCACGGTAAGCCTTGGAGAGCAATGGAGAATTTCCGTACTCTTATAGGGAGTCACAGTGACTATAAAGCACTCCTTACTCTCTAGATAACGTTACGTCTGGTGCTTTAAGAAAGTCCGATAACTTTTTTCTTTTTTTTTTCGGTTTCGTCGGTTGATGACGTTAATTGAAGTTTGTCGTGGTCCCGGCATTACGGGGAATCCCCGGGTTTACTAAGATCGTGCTATGGCTAAATGAAGATGGTTCAACATGGTCGGCTACTAATAATGGTACAGTTCGGTAACTGAGATCAAGAATGTAACTATTGTATAGTACTATAGTGATGCAACCAAACTCCGCCCCAGTTAGCTGTATACAGAGAATATATATACCGGCACGCTCACGAACAACACGATAACTCTTTGATCTTAGCTACCTATTCATTATTTAGCTTAATGTCGATCAAACCCAAGGCCGCGAGTTATTGTTCCGAAATATTAGCCCTGCTAAACGGCCGGGCGATCGACGCCTCGTTTTAAATGCCCATATCGTTTCGGCAATGGGAACCATCTGGCCGATACATTTCACGGGTAAAAAAAAAACAGGACCAGGTAGAACAATTGGTTTTGACAGTGAAAAAAAATGTTGTATTACAAAGCCAAAAATATGGTACCGGTAAAAATTTAGAGATAAGTGACCCAATCTGGCTTTATAAATGACCCATAAACAATGCGGACTACTAGCAACCTGATTGCAAAATTGTGCAATAAACCATAGGCTAAAACCGTTAAACCGTAATATGGGTATCCACCTGAGATAAGAAGGTTCGGCTGAGAGTTAAGAGACCCAAGTAGGGTGTGCACTGTACAGGGCAGACAGAGGCACATAAACCTTAATGCAAAACCGAATCATGTTAGGACTTAGGCGGTGTAGGCGGCTATTGCTGTGCATTGAGTAGAGGTATATTGCGCTGCAAAGCGGTAAAGGAATTTAGCCTTATAAATCAGCGACATGACTGCACCGTGGTGCCACACCTTTCCCTTCTTGGGGCAATCACGAGTCGTCACCGTATCGGCAACATCCCCGTGCATTCGCTGTTCCGTCTTTCCGATGCTGGATGCCAGCAACAACCCCGGGGGACTGAGGTTGGGTACACTGGGTTGAAAAAGTTTCTAGCTAATGATATTGGACGCAAGTGGAAAAAAAAGTTCATAGTCAGACAGTCCGGTGACTAAGCGTCGTGGGGTGGATGGGGGATGGAAGGTATCTGTGAGTTTTATATAATATTACAGACGGATTGTTGGTACAAGGTAGGTAGAGTGATCGGTAGTTCGTGTTGATTGCGTAAAAGTTATCTTGGATTAGTCAACGCCAGTTGCCGAAGAAAAAGAGTCACTTAGTAATGCCTCGTTTGTCTTAGATAGGATTGTGCCATGACTTTCCACCCTCCCGCCGATTCCATCATTAAGACTTTAATCACGTGATAATTGACGTGACAATGAAACATCAGAATTTGATCCTTGTCGGTACGCAGGCTGTTGTAATTTTAAAAAATTTGGATACCCCTTTTTCTTTTTAATTTTATGGAAAATTAAAGGATCCATGGGTGATGTTTTCTTAGGTAATGGCAATTAGCACGGCCTTTGCTTGATGTTTCGAATGACCAATGTAATTAACGTGCATAACTATTTCTATGTTAGGCTAGTCAAAAAAATGGCATGCGTGACATATACGTAATGGCTGGTACGTGTGAGTGAAATAAGTAGTGCCGAAAGTGGTCGCCAGGTGCCAATTAAAATAATCGAAAATTAATAACACGTCCCTACACCAAATTCCACCTACAGCTGCACATCATCCAGTCCATCTATGACGACACTACTCCGTGCTTCATGCTCGTGTACCACGCCTTTCTAAGCCCAGGGGCATCCGAACGGATTAGACATTGGGATCGCTTCGAGGCTAGCCAGCCATCCAGCCAGTCTCCCTCTATAGAGTTAAAACCTTAATGTAACCAAGCTCAGCCAAGATAGCTGAACCAAGATGGCTAGTCTTGGTTCAGCTAAGTCAGTCCTAAATATATGTATATATATATACGTATAGTAACAATACTTAAGTACTAGTACCTAATACTGACTGCCTCCTAGCAGGGAATATTCAAGTGAACGATACCAACCGCGAAATTACCAACTAATCGCACTCCGATCTACTCCATCGAAGTTACCTACCAGCTAACCTATATACTTATCTACCAACTTCGACGTCCAACTTTTACTTCCCTTCCTTGGCTCCCTTGGTCGTCGATTCGAACTCGCTAACGGGAAGAGCCAATGGAAACCCGCCCGAAACCCACGTACGATCGATCACGCTAATTGGACGGTAGCGCCGTGTAAGGAAAAAGGAAACCGTGTGACATTGTTTGCTTTTTTCTCGCGCGAATACCTTACCGATCTTTTTTATCCCAGGATCGTGTTAGTGCAAGACCGTTCGGCAAATACTGACTAACAGTTGGCAATGCTGGGACTTGGTAATTTATGTAGATTAAGGACGGATTGAAAGGCTTTACAGGAGGTTATGTTAAAAAATAACATCTTTTTGTACTATCCATTGTTATACTTAATTACGATCTTTTTCCGCTTAACGAGGAGAGCATTTATAAAACGCCATCTTACCGATTCGAATGGCTAATTTACTTGGGTGACATAACAAGATGATTATCCGATCCATCTGGTAATTATACTAAGACCGTACATAGAAGGTAGCCGCGAATGGACCGGATCGTCGTTTCCATGGTTGCGCAATCGGCAATTGATCTTCGATTCGCAACGTGGTTTCGCGATTTGTGTAGCCGGTGGCTCTATCACAATTGGCTATTCGATTTGAATCAAGGACCCAGAGGAAGGAACGTGCCCCGCTAATCCCGATATAATCGGGCGCGCTCCAACGATTTCCCTATTTCTTGTTGCCTTCTTGCCTTTCTTGCCAAGACAATTCTAATCTAATTTTCGTTTAGATTCAATTGATGGTTCTTTGGGATCTTCCAGTTTAAAGAAGTAGTCATCTGTCTCGATATCAACCTACCTACCCACCCGTCTCATTCTGTGTACAGTGGTTACTGCCGAGAAGGAGGCGGGGAAAGGGGCGCAAATGGAAACAAAGAAAAGTTGCTGGACATTGCAAAATTATCTTGAGAAACACTCAATCTGGTCCTGATCATTGATCAATCCCGATGACGTTCCTTTAGACGATTGAGTTCTCCTTCATTTTTTTTCCTCGGTGATTTCACGTGGTCAGGATCATTGTGTGGGTACACATAGATCTATACCTGTCTTGAATTTCCATAGCAACTTGCTTGGGTTGCTGTTGTCTTTCCTCTTTGTTTTTTTTATTTCTTTATCCTGTTGACAGGTAGGGTGCCCTGAGACTTCGAGACCAGAGACCTTACCGAGAGAATCGTATTTCCCGTTAAGGAATACAGGACGTTGCTCCAATTTTACGTAATTGCCAGCCCTGAAACGAGCTCCTTCTTTCATCATTATTTTTCATACGTTTTTCTTTCTTACCTTCCTCTCTTCCTTCCCACTTCCTTCGGTCGTCCTATCTTTCCCAGCGCTCTTACGGGGCTGAAGCTCTGTAATGCGTTTTGAGACCTCCGACAGTGTCTCCCTCGAGGTCCCAACTACCTCAGGTAGACCTTACTAGGTATGATGTATTCTCTTTTTTCTCTCCTCATTCACTCTATAAAAATAATGTCCTTGCCACATGAATCTGGATCCGAGTCCAAAGTCATGTTTTACATTATACATGGATGGTACTGTGTTTCGATGACAATCCGGGCCGATACGGAGGTCGGACCTGATGACAAAAAAGCAGCCCGTTACAATACCAAGAGAAGCACCTCTCACTATCTCGAATACCTCACTCTGTCATACCTTTCTATATAAACCAATTACTTCCATACCAATTGGACATACCATCTCAATGCAGCATAACAACATAAAGGCCGACTATTCTTCAATCTAGTTAATCCATCTCGACGCCATTCAGTTCCGGGAAGTCTTGTACAATTGACCAAAAATTAGCAAGCGACACTAAAAAAAAAAAGAAAAAGAAAAATCAGTGTCAACTGCCACTTGGGAACTTTTAACGATTAGCCAACCGATTAGCTATGCTTTTACATGCACAATGGCTGCTCTGCTACGTAGACCAAAGATTTGGTAGCGAGGATTAGGAGATGCACTGAAGTAAGCGTAGATGTCGATGCTTATCGGGAACGCGGAGCTAGATATCCGGAGTTGAGGTGTGTCCTTAGGATGGCCTTTCTTATCGCGATAACTCGAGGACATCTCGTTGAGCAATGGAGTGGTGGCTCCACCCACTCATCCGTGATCTGTAGCACCTCGGCTCAACTGGAGTCTGACTCGCGACGCCTCCAGCCATCAAGGAGACTTCGATGGAAGGTACGCATTGCGTCTACTGTGAATAGACCAGATATAAATACTTAAAGCTTACTATATGTGTATATATATATATATATCCATACCGTCCAAAGGATCGCTATCGGGATCATTCCCAAGAAGTGGCCTTCCCAGAGATCATCGACGTCAGCACAATTGGATCAAGTATAACTTCTGTAGAGGATGATATCGATCACATTGATCCGCAATAAAAATTCCTGCATATGCAAATGATTTTGTTACCACCACAACGGCATCCCCGTATCCTCGTTATGCCTTAGGATAAAATTTAAAATGGTCTCATACCAATACAGCTTACCTAGGGTACCATCTTCAGGATGGTCTTTCTCTTATCGTTATTTGTCATCACCAGGAGACCAAAGAGACTCTCCATTCTGAGAGTATGCCACTTTCAGTATCTACTGCGTTTCACAGAGAGTGGTGCGTTCCTGAAGGAAACGTGTGGTAGGTAGTTGAAGAGTATATAGGTAGAGGCGTCGAGAGTGTTTGGCGTCGGTGTCTTGGTGCACTAGAAATTTGTCTGTATATCGAAGCAATTCTTGACTGTGAATGTAACTGTCTGGGCCTGTTTGAGTACGGAGGGGCCAGTCGCCCTTGCCGGGAAGCCTGAGGCACGGGCGTGGGCCTTTCACTCCTGCCATCCGCATCGCTCCTTTACCTCTCTATACGTATAGTACATAATACGTATATATATACTATCGATGGACCTCGCGCTCACTTCGCGATCCGCGACCCTCCATTACAGTGGCACTCAAATTTACGCTGAAATAAATGAATTATTGATCAGAGCTTATCAAATTAGTATATACCGATTCCGTATTATTAACGAGCAATTAAATCAAGTTCTATTGTCTTTAGTGCAGGGTTCGTAAACGTAAGAAAGCCAGGGAAGTTATCGTGGGATTTGTTGTCAAGCTTTAAAATAATTCTGCTTGCTGTTCTCCTTTTAAACTTTCTATAAGGCCCTTAGTAGTTGGATTAGATTCGCCTAGTTCGCGTGAAAAAATTCTTACGAAATTAAGCAATTGACATCGCCAATTTGTCTGTTTGAGATAAACGATATTTTGAAGAAATAAAATGTTGTCGCGGACCGTAAAATAATGCGTGTTATAAACGGGGAAAGTGACGTCGATATAAAAGAATATAACGGCATTGTTCCTTAGAATGGATATTTTTGTTGACGTTAAAAAAAAAAATAACTAGGTTTCTGTACAGTATTAAAGCTACGGATTGCGTATCACTGAAACTAACCCACCCAACTTAAACAAGGTTCGATCATTACACGGGCTATTATGTTGCAGCATACTACCAGCCTACTAATACTAGTAGCATACTAGCAATACATACTAGTATCAGTAACGGGCAGTACGGCCACTAGATATTGCTTATTAACTCTACGTCCGTGAGTTCCGTTCGAGGAGACTAACGGTCGTTCTTATTGTACGACATAGGTTAGGACCGGTTGCACCGGGCGTCCCAGCGCGGTCTTATGAGCGACGCTAATCGCCACCGTGAATACGAATAATAGAGAATAAGAGAATATACATGTATAAATACCTGGGGCGTCCATCATATCGGCGCCTATGATATTCCCAAGAGACCCAAATACACTGGACGGATTATGGGATAGAGGCTTGTCAACTGTCATTCCTGTTCGTCCGTCATGGCGGAAGCGAGACGAGAGCCGTCGGCAGTGCCATCTACCCACGCCGGCCGTAGCTTGACGTGCCATTAGCTGTGACTCCCGAATTCAAATTTAAATCCGACTACCGTGTTATTCCGTATCCCCGTTCCACCCTGCATGCATACCAGGGTACGTCTTCGGGACGTCCTCTGCCTCGCCTTTTGACCTGCACCGTTACAAGGCCATTACTCCGTGGAATCATCACTCCGTTGCGCAATCGTTCACCTTGTTTCAAAACACTGCTGTCGTAACCCTCTCTACCTTTTGTTCTGCCTACGCGTGCGATATTCATTCGTGCTTGCGTTTTAAAGGTTGAGGACGTACGTGTCCCATCAAATAATCAAATCACCGCTTGACAATGCTCCGATTAATTATGTCTAATTCAATTTATATTATTTTTATTTTTTTTCAGCTAAATTATCCGCAATGAAATTACTGTTACGAGGGAATAAAATCCACGTGGCATTCCACTGGCTTTACGTACGACGTCCTTAGGCGGCGTAGACTATTTTTTGCAAGTCTACCGACAAGACTTCACATATGTACACACATGAGACCCTACTTGATCCTGCATATATATCCTACGCTTAGAATGTTATCTATTGGCTCATGGTTACATTACCGATAAGAAGACGTGCTTGTGTCTCCATGTGAATATTCTCCAGTCGTACCTGTAAAGTACCAAAAGTAGTGTGATATTATTTCTTTCGTACAGACCAGACGCAGCTGCAGCAAGGAAAATATATAGTTATCACTGAGAAAACAAGATGGCCGATGACACCCACGTTCAACCATAGTGGAATATCTCATGGCGGAACTCTAAATCATTGTTATGATGAATGCGAGATCTATCCCTGCATTTCGACTATAAATTTCCGGTGGCGAGATCCTCCCGTATGTAGAATATGTAAGTACCGACCGAGCGGACTCGTGGGTAGTGAGTTGAATTCACGGCTAATACATTGCCAACCCTTAAGAAGCACTGAATTGCGTAGGCATATATTCTTACGCATGGCAACCATCCTGAGCACCGAAGAACCACGTACGTGAACATATATCGTTATACTAAACGTGTAAATGGTTTCCCATGGGCGGATAATGTATGAATCTATACGCGTATCCCATGTATAAAGGATAATATCAAATTATACGAGAATTCTAAGAATATCTGCAGGTAGATAAAGATCGTGAAGATTATGAATCTCAGTGAAAATGGCGTCGTGGTAAGATATTCTTGGAGATGCTTTAACAAATTTTTTCCAATTTTTTTTTTATTTACATCAAATTTTTTTAGGCAAATTTTTTATTTAATCATCGACCTAAGTGAATTTTGGTACTTGTTGCGTAACTCGTAATACGGATGCTGTACCCTATGCGCTCTGCCGGAATATCCACCGGCAAAGTACTTGGTACGCGTCAACGTGTCTTTATCGCCTCACCCACTTCGTCTCTTTATTGCTTCTCTTAACGACGCCGCTACATTGTTCGCTCACGGCACCTTGGCTGACGTCTCAATAATTTATCCCGTTAAACTTTCATTTTCCAATTGGTACACGATGTTTTGTTTGAGACAGTTTCATACATTTTTTCCACACCAGTTATGGACATTGGATGGTCGACGAGTTGAATTTGAAATTTTGAATTTTTAACAAAAAAGATAAAACGCGGATCGACGATAAGGATGTGAAATTTTTTTTTTCGAAAATCCAAAAAAATTTTCATTAACAATAAATTACATAATATAGGATGCTGCGTTGTTGATTAAAAGATATCTACGAGTTACAATTTAATTATTACAAAGCAATGCGCTCGGAGCAAGATTCAATAGCAATGTCGACCTTCGATGCATTGTAAAAGTAATTGAGCAATTATAGTGGAAATGCATTTATAAAATACATACAGAATTCCCGGAGATAAATAAATAAGAGAACAAGTGAATCTCAAAGAAATCATCGCTCCCGTACGTTTTACCTTTAATTGCGAGTGAGCCTTTATAAGTATAAATACAGTTTGGTTGGTACCATTGGTTAATGAGTGGCTCGAAGTAGCCGTGCACTTTATGAACTTACGAAGTACTGTAATCACAAACCAGCCGATTACACAGGACGTAATTACAAATCGAGCATTCACTACGCTGCACACGTGCAAAGGTGAGATACGAATACTTCGCTTTAAGCTAACGGGCTCATTCTCATAGCTCGTAGTCAGGTACCCAATGTAACCTATATATACCAGAGACTGGACCAGCCCACGCAAACACGATTCAGAATAATCATACAAGGTTGCAGCAGGACGCATTCTCCATAAATAAGTGCACGTTCATCCAGCATCGCAATAAATCACCAAACTCGAAATATAATCAAGCCCGAAAACGAAGATAACGAAAAATCCAACATAACCTCAAAAAAAATTCAGAGAAAAAATTTACCTAAAAAGCACTCGATACCTTAATAAAATATCCTATCGAAGCACTCGAGTGCAGTAAGAAGCACAGAGTGCATATATGCCACGCGGTTCTGAATGCACATTTGGTACCTATATCCAAGATCCTTGCAGGTATGCGAGTGAAGCAGTCCGGTACTGGAAGGAAGGTAAGGTAGGTACCTGCATTGCTTGTTTTTCCCGATGCGAGTCCTGAATCCCGCATATGCGCCATGCATCAGGTAGAAGCGTGAAGTGCGAGCACGAGAGCCCGAGGGCCGTAGTACTTCGATAGGTCGGATTGCATGTTGCATATAAGCATTGCATTGCATTGTCGTGTGGCTGCAAGGCGTGGCACACGGGGAAGCACTGATAGGCCTGAGCCGATACCGTAAGAGTTAGTGCTCCGACTACTTTGTTCCTTTACTCGGTGCTCCTTATTGCTGGCAGTCTTGCTCTCTTAGCACCGCGATACTCTGGCTGCCTGGGTCCGTTCTATTTGCACCTTTTACACTCTCGTGCATTGGATGCATATCGGACTCGTACCCTCTCTTGCTACGTCTGACTCTACCTAACTGTATTATAAAATAGCGTCCAGATAGCGCCGTCCCATAGCCTATGCATAGCCTATCGTGGCTGAGCCAGGCAGAGCCGAGGAATCTACGGGCACTCGCAGTGCTTTCGAACTTTTCATAGATCAACAACAAGAAAGGACGCACGTGCGTATACCTCTTGGAAACATGTGCGAATGCATTGAATTTTGGAGGCTCGTCAAGGAATTTTTTAAAATCAGTATTATCCAGATCTTATACGAGGTACGATTAGAGTATGACGGGTGTGTCATTGCTATAGGGTGTTTAAATAGTAGGTATCATTGCTTGTGTCAGGCATCTACCTAGGTGCTACTGGAAAGTAGCTGTTGAAATTATAGTTCGATCTGCTTTTTTTTTTCTCGTTCCTATTTGCTCCGGAAACTCCTGTAAATGCCTGGACAGCATGGGAGGGTTAACAGGTGTCTTCGTAGGATAATGAATCGGTATGTCTCAAGGCGAATCCTTTTCGTTAAGAATAAGGACGCCTTCGAGGAATCCTTTCGCTTCAAGTTTTTCTACCACCTTGGACAATACTGGCCACGGCCTATTCATCGGCTCTCGGCCGTGTTAACGGGAGTCACGAGAGCTGCGTAAAAAGGTAAAGAGAAATATAAATTCATGGATTTCTCTTTCCACGGTGCCGATACGACGGATTCGGGCTTCCGCCGATCACGATCGGCCAACCGATCGAACTGTCCAAAGCCGTCATGCCGCCCGTACGAATTGACCCCTTCGGGGTATCCATGCTGTGTATAATATAGCCTATGGGCAACGTAAGCGACTTCTTGCCGATAGACACCGGCACCCTTTTGGCCTCTTCGAGTGAAGCATTCGAGTACCTAGTCAAGCATTCAGGCGGTCAGGCCGAGCCACGATTTGACACTGTTGACCTTTGCCGTTTCTCGATACATGAAGAGGTCAACCAAGTAAGACCGATAGCTACCTAAGCGTTCGAAGAAGCCTCACGAATATGCCTGACAATCGGTGATCTCATTGTACGAGATAAGATAGAAAAATCATCTAGTGACCCAGATGACTAAAGAGACTCAGCTCGTGGAAAGGCGTTTGAATTATCTGAATCAAATTTTTTTTCATCGGTTTAATCTATCAAATCGGTTACAGTTCTGACGATTGCGCAACGGAATCTCCTTGGTCGATCGTTATAATTATTGCAATGAATAATTCTGTCCTCGACTAGGAGTGGCACGTGCCGATCTTTGGCTACCGATCTTCTTTTTCTTCCTCCTCTTTTTCTTCTTCTCTTTGGTCCGAGGTCATCCCATAGACGCCAATCACCCACACGCTACCGATCGACTCCGATTTTCTTATCCTCTATCGGGGCCCGATGTGGCCCACTTTGCCGGGGCGGGGAGGGAGGGGCCCGAACGACGCAGAAGTCACGGACTAGGCTTCGGGCGAGAGAAATTCGGCGAACCATATCCGGAACGGCGTCAGCGTCGTGGACACTCTTCGCGGCGACGTCCAGTGGACATCCTTGGGGATTTCTCGCTGGACAGGATCTAGGTATCGGTTCGAAAAATAAGGCCCAACGTGTCCGGTCTGTTTTTTTTTCTTTTTTTTTTTATTATCACAATAAACCATCAGCGTAACTTACAAATTTATTCTTCATCTTTCTTATTACCTCGTCCACGTATATCGGCGCACGGTGCCGGTGGGTCGCAAGGCCCAAAAATGAACACCGTCACTTCGTCTGACTCGAAGAAAGAAGAGTCCCAGATACTGACACACGTAAAAATACTGCCGTAAGAAAAATGGGACCAGGCCTGTCATCGTCTCGTCGGAGAACTCAAAAGGGGACTTTCGTTCGTTCGGTCCCTCGTTCGTTTGTTTCCCCTCCCCCCCGCCTCGCCTCCCTTGATTCATCGGTCCGATCAGTCCCAAGATTTTCGGGCCCGACGCCGTTGACCTCCTTTTGCGACGATCAAGATCGCGTCGCACCGGCAACGCGTCGATTGCCCCATTCGAAAGAAATCTGCGACATCATCTTAATCGCGGGCCCGGGCGTTTCGCTCTCGTTTTCATCCAGTCGCTATGGATTTCTTGCTCACGTAATAAGGAGATCGCTGAGC